AAATGAAATTTTACAGTAATAAAATATAAAAAAAAATTTAAATACATTTTACAGTGATATGGTGAAAAAAAGAGGATTTGGAAATCATTTGAAAACATAAAATTTTCATAAAATACTTAGAAACAAACCTTAAAGTCCGAACATTTATTTGATCCTTTAGAGTAATTAAAACAATTATAAAACATTTAAGGACACTGTTTATTATACCCTACACCACTATAGTGGGGAGGGTATTATACGTTTGTGCTGATGTTTGTAACACACAAAAATATTGGTCCTACACCCACCTTTAAGTATACCGATCGACTCAAAATCACATTTTTAGTCGATTAAGACATGTCCGTCCGTCCGTCTGTCCGACTGGCTGTCCATGTAAACCTTGTGCGCAAGATACAGGCCGCAATTTTCAAGATAATTTGATGAAATTTGGACCAAGCATGTTTTTTGGCACAAGGACAAAGCCTATTGAAAATGGTTGAAATCGGTCCATTTTTTCACCTAGCCCCCATACAATCGTGCCTCCCGATTTGGGCATTTTATGCCATAATTACGTCAAATATGCTATTATCTTTCTAAAAATTGGCACAAATAAGTTTTATATAAGTATAAATGATACTGCAGATTTTCGTAATGATCGGCCCTTATTTGACCCTAGCCCCCATACAAACCCCCCTTCAAAAAATGTCTTAAACGTCTAAAATTAACTTGTACCCATTTGTATCGCAATGAAACTCAACATAATTAACTATTATTTAAAAATATATCCTTTTCCCAAATTTAATGAGGATCGGCCCATGTTTGACCTATACTCCTATATAAAGCCTCATTTAGAAAATTTGTTTTTTTATCAATAAATTGCTTAAATACTTTGGAATTAAGGTAAAATTCAACATAAAAGTTTCTTTGTGAAAAATAAAAATTTTTAAAATATACTCATGGTGTAGGGTATTATATGGTCGGCCATGCCCGACTATACTTTCCTACTTGTTATTAATTAAACTATACATTATTTCAATTAATTTCTAATTAAATTTCCTACATTTTCTAAAGTATGTATGTCCGTCCAGTTATAATTTTTTTTTTTTTTTCAAAAAATTCTTTAATTTTTTTCAACAACCCATCCTTCAAATAAACCTATTTAAAACTAAAGAAAATTTAAAGTCCATTTTTTTTAATTTTTAAAGTTTTTTCTTTAAAAATAACTATAAATTACTTACTAAACTTTTTGCCTTTTTATAAACTTATAAATAAAGAAAATTTAGTTAATTTTTTTTAGAAAATTTTTGTTAAACGACTTGTTTTAATTTCAAACTCTTTAAAACCAAATATATAGTTTTAATTATTTAATTATTAAAATTAATAAAATAAAAATGAATACTTAAGCACTGGCTAACAGCAAAAAAAAAGTTAAATAACTTAATTTAAAACAAAATCTATATATAAAAATATTAAATCATAATTTAAAATTAATTATTATTTAATGAGAAAAGAAATAGGAAAGACATGTGTATTGTAAAGTAAGAAAAAAACTAAACTTAAGTAAAAACAAACAAAATATAATGAAGGGAATAAAATTAAAATTTTAAATTTAATAAGTGTATATTGTAATAAAACAAACAAAAAATCAACAATATAAAACTAAAAAATGAAAATAAAAATATATATAAAAATCTTCAAAAAAAAATGCAAAAGTTTAAGTTTATTTAATAAACGCTTTTACTTCTACCAACAAACATCAGTAAGTATTTTAAATTTGTTAATTTCTAAATTATAGCAAATTATCTCATTAATTCCCTTAAATATTTCATTGTTTGGTTACCTTTCGTGTCATCTCTACTCTGGACAACTTTATGCAAATTATGCTAAGACATTTTTTTATGCAAATTTTAAACAAAATTAGTGTTCAAAACAAAAGTAAAACATAAATAGAAATAGTTATTTTTTTGGGGGGGGGGGGGGGAAATAAGCCAAATAAATGACACCACTTTTTATTTGTTTTGTTTTGCTCGATTAGTTAAATGTTGTTGTAAATATGAAATCAAAACAAAACAAGCTTCTGGTCCAACTAATCTAAGCCGACATTGACAGCTGTGGGCAAATGCTATGTTCAAGGAGGGCCACTAATCTACTCATGTCAAATTTCATTTCATTTTAAATCTATAATTTCTATAGTTCTATAGGCAATCCTCATTTGTTAGACCGTTTCAAATTAAATTTAAACTTATTATATATCAATGGAAAGGTAATTGATACACTTTTCAACATTACAAAAAAGGTCATGGAAGACTTTTTGAAAAACATATCAATGCCCGTCCGTTTATGGAAAACTTTGTAATCAAACTTCACATCGAAACTCAGATCAACAACATTTTTAACCCCGGAACCAATACGAATCTTAATCTCATTAGGTTTTTGAGATATTATATCCTAAATTTAAAAAAAGTGGTTGCTCAGTTTTAAGATGGTATAACAAACCAAAGACACTTTTTTTTTAAAGTTTGTTTTGTCGTCTTAAAGTCCAATATAAAGTTTTAACCACTATCTATTTCCCTTTTCCAGATATCATTCCTAAAAGCTTGAAACAACCATAAATTGACAAAACTGAATTTTTATACAATATTTCTCTTTATAATAAAATATGTGTTCGTCTCAAAATTGGCCAAAAATGTTTTTATTTTTCAAAGTCGATTTCTTGATATCTCGAAAACCTGATGTGATTGAAACGATTTTAACTCCAGATTCGAAATAAGCGTAGCTCAATTCTTAAGTAAAGTATATATTGATCTCTGGGTTTTTATAAGTTTTGATGGCCTTTTGTAATTAAAATCGAAATCGGTTCGTTATTTCAACTAGTCTCCATAGAACAGAACCTTCCGAAGAGGGCGTCACACTGAACTGCTTCTGATTTTAGAGGTGTGGCAGTGATTTTCCAGTTTAGGGGTTATTTCTCCTTAAAAAAAAAACCTAGTAAAGTTAAGGAACAGGACCTAAATAACAGTGGGTTTTTAATTTCTGATGCCATTGGCTAATATTAAAATGTAAGGGATAAAAATGTACACGGGGCTTCAAGGAGGGGAAAAAAGACTCCTCATTAACCTCTTCAGAGGCAAAGGGAATCAGATCTTCTAATGAGCTTAACACTGAAAATATGCCCCAAAAGAAAAGGAGCTCCGAAATCGGTTCGTTATTTCAAATAGTCTCCATACAACAGAACCTTACGAATAGGGCGTCATACTGATCTGCTTCTGATTTTAGAGGTGCGGCAGTGATTTGCCAGTTTAGGGGTTATTCCCTCTTAAAAAAAAAAAAACATAGTAAAGTTACGGAACAGGACCTAAATAACAGTGGGTCCTTAGTTTCTGATGCCACTGACTAACATTAAAACGTATAGGATAAAAAGGGTACACGGGGCTTCAAGCAACCTTAACCTTAAAAACGCAGATGACGATTCCGGCTCTGAATCCTCTAATGAGATCAACAACACCAATGTCATACCTAATTTTAGCAAGGAGATGAAGTAGAGGCAACAGTGGAGCAGGTGGACGACAACAATGCTAAGATATAAAAATACTATTATCTTGGGCACAGATGAGGAAGTTGAAGAAGATGTTACTTTTTTCCGAAGGGAAAAAAGACTACTCATTAACCTCTTCAGAGGCAAAGGGAATCAGATCTTCTAATGAGCTAAACACTGAAAATATACCCCAAAAGAAAAGGAGCTCCGAGTTCTCTAACATACTGCCAAAGCTTCTCTAAAAGGACTTTCTGCCAAGTATCCTGCGGGTAAGAAGTATTTGTAAGCTTAATTTCAATATTCAACTTTGTTTTCGAAACGAAAGGTAATTCAATCAGGGTATTCCGGCCTCTGGAGAACAATAATATATCAAGTAATAATTACTAAGGTCAAAGAACCCATAAAGAGCCTGAGTATCGAGTTTATAGGTCGTGTAACGATCATAATGTTTACACCTGACGATTTTTGTGGAAAGTATCCCGATTGTAATATAACGGACTTTTGCGGGATATGCAAAGATACAGAGGATCTAGAGACGGTTGAGTACTCCTAGAATATAGAATTTCAGTTTGAAATGGCTGGAAATAGCTTCCATTATGAACTGAGGAAATTTTCGGCACACAACCCTGGCAGTCTACTAGATTTTATCAGGGGAATTAGCAATTTCTTTGACTGGATTTTATAGAGAGTTTGAGATTTTCGCACAACTTTTTCTATAGTGAATCGATTTGGTAGAACTTCCTGGTCGCCTTTCTTTATTCCTTTCTTTATTATATTTCTCTATCTTGGGATCTTCTCACTCTACGAAGAGAATCATAATGAATCTTATGTTCTCATAATCTAAACATATCCCTTCTCCCTGAGGTGATGCTTAGTAGAGCTGGATATTACGGTAAAGGTTATAATATGGTTGGTCATGTCCGACTATATTTTCTCACTTGTTTCAAACTGCTTATTCCTGAAAAAATTACGAAACTGAAATTATTCCTAAAACATTTATTTTAAAATGTTGTATGAAAACTACTCAATTTTTGTTATTGTTTTTCATATAAAAGTTTAAATGTTGTTTTACATTCTTCTTTCTGAATACGAACAATTAATTATAAGAGAATAAAATTTCAATTATTTTTCTCAGGGGCCTAAGTTAGTACCCTAAGGCTAGACTTCTCATAGAAAGAGAGAGAGAGAGAGATAAACACAGACTGGCCAGTTATCACTTATCAAAAAACAAACTAAATGAGTAAATTTAATTAAAATATTTGTAAGAGAATGGAAACATATGTTTTTATTTATTTAGTTTAAATTTTATTTGTGTTTTTGTTAGTTTTGTTTTTTTTTTTTTTTTTTTTTTTTTTTGTATTTTCAATATCGTTGGCGTTTTAAATTTTTTCTAAATCGTGTGCCATGTTATTATCAGGTTCTCAACACGTTTAGTGCTCTTTTGTACACATGTATTACTTTTCCAACGACATACTACACTCGGAGATACTACACTCACTAACACTTGTCATTTAGTATTTTGAAAAAATTACGTTTTTTCTGAGCGTATAGTATTGCGGCAGCTCTTGTGTAGACCGAATCGTTTATAATTAAATAAAAGTGTGACACGAGTTTTCAATATAAAAGCGTTCAAATACAACAAAAAAAACAACAACAATAATAAAAAAAATCAAAACTAATATTTGCTTTAAATATTAAAGTTAAAAAAACCATAAAGAAAAACTAGTGTATTATTAATAATACCAAACTATTTGCAAAAACCCTATAAAAAAACTTATAGTATCTAATAGATACTTAATAAATATATAAATATATATATATATATAGAAAAAGCCACAGTGTTTATAAATAAATATAACAACAATTAAACACGTTATTTTACGTATTAAAATAAATTTTTATATATAAAAAAACAAAAACAAAATTTCAAAAAAAATTACATATTTAACAGAAAAATCATTTGTGAAAAAAACAACCTATAAGATACAAAATACAACGACTTGTTATCTACAAAATATAAACAACAACAATAACAAAAATAAAAACAAAAATCTCTAAAGAAATTTCTGTTTCTTGCATCCACAACAACAACAAAAATAAAGGTGATTATCAGGCTCTACAAATCTTGTCAATGGGAGGGACAAAGGTCATTGAAAAAACCAACAACAAAAATATTTGAAAAAAAATAAATTATAACAAAAAATTTTACAAATTATTTATTTATTTGTTATTAAATGTAAACCTTTAGTGAGAGTGAGTGAGTGAGTGTGTGTTTGTTAATAATCGAAATTTAAATAAAGTTTTCAACAATTAAATCCACATATTTTTTTATAAATTCATTTCAAACCCATCTAAACGTGTCTCTTTAAACCGGTATTTAAGTTTTAACTTCAAAGTTCATTAAAAACAAACTCGGTTTAAAAACGTTTCCGTTATTTCAGCAGCGTGTGACAAGTGTTTTAGATATTTTTTTTGTTATTATTATTTTAAATTATTTGTTCAATTTATTTGAACAAAAAAAACATAATTGCAAAACTGATAGAGAACTTGATCTTTTGACTAGACTTTTGTATAAATCAAATAAATAATAAAAAAAAATATTAAACAGATTTTTGGTTTTCTATGTATACAAAAAGAGAAGCTAAAATAACGGGTGTTTAATTGAATTATGGTAAAATTTCTAGAAAGTATTTTTAGTAGGTATAGACTTTAAAATTATAGAAAACATTCATATAATAATTCGATAAAAATATCACCCAGCATCAATAATTGGAATTATAATTTTTTAGTTATTTCGTAGTACGGATACTAAAAGATATCCATCCCCATATATGTGTTAAAATCACTATAGTTAAAAAATGGGAAGAGTTAAAAGTCCAATTTACAAAAAAAAACCTACAAATATTAAAACCTTATATGATTTAAAAACTAAATTAATTAATTAAAATCCTGTTATATGATTTGTTTGACATTGGATGAAGTCAATAACGGTCCATTATTTCATCTAGCATCCATAGAAATCTAGAAATACTGTTTGAACCATCATAAATATGTATTTTGATTATTCAGTTATCGTCATAATATGTTTTTATACCCTACTCCGCTTTAGTGGGGGTGTGTATATTGGATTTGTGCTGATATCTGTAACGCACAATAATATTGGTGCTATACCCTTAATCTTAAAGTATACCAATCGGCTTAGAATCATTTTCTAAGTTGATTAAGCTATGTCCGTCCGTCAAACTACAGATCCCAATTTTGAAGATAATTCAATGAAATTTGGTACATGATCTTCTATTGTCTCAACGATGAAGCCTATTGAAAATGGTTATGGTCGGTCCATTGTTTCACCTAGCCCCCCTACAACTGAACCCCCAAATAGGGCTTGTAAACTTTGTAATCAAACAAAAGGTCACAATTTTGAAGATAATTCAATGAAATTCGGCACATCATCTTCTATGGTAATGGTTAACATAGGTCCATTATTTATTTCACCTAGCCCCCATAAAACTAAACCCCCAGAAAAGGGCTTTTAAGTTCATAGTTATGTTTAATATACTTTAATATACTATACTAGCCTTGATGACCCTGATGAATTTTCTGATGATAGGGCCTCATTTTACCATAGCCCCTATACAAAGCCCTCCTTCAAAATATTACTTAAAAGTACACAATTTTATTCAACAATAAATGGCTTAAGTATATCTGAGGCAATGTACATTTCCACTTATTGTGACACAGTGTGACACTTTTAATATCGAAATGTATTGGAAGAAGAGCTAAACTTTTTACGGATTGAAGTGAATCAATTCTATATTTTACCGATGATTCGACAAGCCTTTCAAGACATTTCTCGATATAAATTTTCGAGTTATTGGTCCCTTTACGATCATATCTGAAAATTTTATTTTTATGGTTTAAGTAACCCTGCAAAAAATTATGAAGTACATGATCCAATAAAGTAATTCCAAAACTACTCCCCTGTAAATATGATTGAAGTACATGATCCGTTAAGTAGTCTAATGTAATGCAGACATCGATTATGTTTATAGGACCTATAATTTTAGAAAGAGAGTAGTTTTGGGATTACTCTGATGTAATGAATAGATGGATTACGAGGTCTGCACAAAGGACATCACCATGTTAAATGGAGTGTATGTTTTTCCATATATTTGGATTAGTTTTGGGTCAGTCCCAGTCTTTTGAGGAGTACTATTTATACATGTGTACAGAGTAGTGTAAATTTTTGCAGGAAAATGGACGATATTAGATTACCTGGTCCTCATCTAGGTCTTCACAATGTTAAATGATGTATGATTTCCATATATTTAGATTAATTCCGTACCAGTCCTAGTATATTTTCTAGGCCTTATCGCGAAATTTTAATTATACCATCTGTCTAGCTGGCTGCGCATTTAAAGCTTGGGCACAAGGTATAGGTCGCAAAGTGATAGTGGGTTCATTTTCTAGTCCCCATACTTATGTGAAATATATCTTATCGAATTTCGAACCATATTTGACCCTAGTTATATTTCTTAAATGTACGAAATTCACTTGTAAACAATAATATCGCTATCCACCAAATTTTATTGGGATAGGTCCATATTTGCGCCTAGTCCCCATATAATGTCTCTTTTGGGAAAATTGTTTTTCAATATATTGTTTAAATATATTATAATCAAAATATAATCAAAGCTTTATTAGGAAAAATAAATCACAATTAATAATCATAACTCGTATAGGGTATCGTACGGTCGGCCACGCCTTAAAAATCTTTAATTATTAATATATTTGAATTGTGACTCTATGCAAAGTATTTATAAGACGTAAATTTTTTTTTAGATTTACAATTAGCATGTAACTAATTACTTTTTGCAAAAGTTATTTTTTTATATAAATACATAATGTATATAAAATTATATATTTCACAAGAAAATTTCAAATGAAATCATAGCTAATAGAGATATTCACTTTCTCCAACATTTAGAAAATATTTAATTTATATACTTAATTCTATTAAACAAATTTTATCAATTAGGTGAATGACCGATTTTTTCGGGATTTAATAAAGTAATTTGTTACTTAAGTAGACATTTTATAAAAGTACATAGTCACTGATTATCTAGTTACACACGGCTAAAATATTAAATAGTAATTTGATTAAAGTTAAAAGTTATTAAAATTTTCAATATTTTAAAACTGAAATTTAACACAGTGTAACCATAACATTATTTGATTTTCAATTTGAATCTGTAAAATTATTTTTTTTACAATATTTCTTAAAATATTGTCAAAAATTTGTTTATTTAATGTATAATGTTAAAGTATTTGTTAAACAATACTTTTTTTTGCTATCGTCAACTACTTATTTACGAACTATCGAACAATTTGTATTAAAATAAACAAAACTAACTGATAAAATTATGTTTTGACTCGAAATTTTGTGAATGATAACAAACAAACAAATCGGTATATAGGTTTTTATATTACTAATTACAACAAATGTTAATTGTATTTAAAATTATCTCTTTGCAAATATTTAAGCACTTGTCCATATTTGTGATTACGTTTAGGTAAATGTATAACAAAAATTTTGCCTATAACTGAACTATTGTTCTGATCGTATTGATCGTTATTTTTTGTAATTTTCAAAAGTTTCAAATAGTGTTTTTTACAAAAAAAAAGAGCATATACAGACATACATAAGTTGAAACAAATATTTCAAAATATAAAATGTATTTGAAACAGATTTTTAGAAAATCTAACTCTTATAATATCTATATTCTATTAAACAAGCATTTTTTCTGTTCTTCTGATATTTAATTATATACACACATACATATACAAGTACAGATCCCTTATATTTAAATATCTACATACATACCTACATATGAGTCAGAAGTACATAGTCTCATCTCAGGCATGGAAAAATGAAACTTTGATATATGTAGTTCTTATAACAAAAATAGTACTTTTTAACTTTTAAAAAACTAAACTTATTATCCGCTAGACTATAGAATAGACTATATATTAGACTGTAGACTAGCACAAAGACTAGACTTTAGACAAGACTATAGACTAAACTATAGACCAGACAATTAACTATAGACTAGACTATAGACTAGACTATAGACTAGACTATAGACTAGACTATAGACTAGACTATAGACTAGACTATAGACTAGACTATAGACTAGACTATAGACTAGACTATAGACTAGACTATAGACTAGACTATAGACTAGACTATAGACTAGACTATAGACTAGACTATAGACTAGACTATAGACTAGACTATAGACTAGACTATAGACTAGACTATAGACTAGACTATAGACTAGACTATAGACTAGACTATAGACTAGACTATAGACTAGACTATAGACTAGACTATAGACTAGACTATAGACTAGACTATAGACTAGACTATAGGCTAGACTATAGACTAGACTATAGACTAGACTATAGACTAGACTATAAGCCTAGACTATAGACTAGACTATAGACTAGACTATAGACTAGACTATAGACTAGACTATAGACTAGACTATAGACTAGACTATAGACTAGACATAGACTAGACTATAGACTAGACTATAGACTAGACTATAGACTAGACTATAGACTAGACTATAGACTATCTAGACTAGACTAGGACTATAGACTAGACTATAGCTAGACTATAGACTAGACTATAGACTAGACTATAGACTAGACTATAGACTAGACTATAGACTAGACTATAGACTAGACTATAACTAGACTATAGACTAGACTATAGACTAGACTATAGACTAGACTATAGACTAGACTATAGACTAGACTATAGACTAGACTATAGACTAGAACTATAGACTAGACTATAGACTAGACTATAGACTAGACTATAGACTAGACTATAGACTAGACTATAGACTAGACTATAGACTATACAGACTAGACTATAGACTAGACTATAGACTAGATTATAGACTAGACTATAGACTAGACTATAGACTAGATTATAGACTAGATTATAGACTAGACTATAGACTAGACTATAGACTAGACTATAGACTAGACTATAGACTAGACTATAGACTAGACTATAGACTAGACTATA